GTTTTTCTCATTTTCAGAAAGTAGCCAAGTAAACATTTTGGGGGGCCCCCAACGGGTTCTTTTTTAAAAAAATGGGGAAAAAAATTTAAAAAAAAAATTGGTCCCCCTTTTTGAACAAAAGGGTTTTGGGGCCGTTTTTTTCTTCTAGCTAACCCACGTTTTCTTAAATTGGAGAAAGGGGGGATTTTTATTAAGACTGGAAAAAAGGGGTTTGCCAACGCCCTTTTTTAAAAAAAAAAAAAATCCACAAGGGTTCTCCACCACACCTTTTGCCCACAAAAAAATCTCCGATCCCCCGGCCTCGCCTCCTGCTCCCCCCCAAAAGAATTTTTTTCTCCCCCGTCTCCCGACCCAAAAAAAAAAAAAACTCCCGGATTTGGGTTCCATTTTTTGTTAATTGGGTGGGGGTGGGTTTTGGTAAGTTAGACAGCCTTGGCGGTGAGGTGCCCTTAAACGCCCTTTAAATGGCAAGTGCATTATTCCCCAATCAGCTTTTTATCTGTTTCCCTTTCAAAATTAGAGTTTTTGGATATAATTCGTTCAACGCCAAACCCGGGGAATAGGTCTCGTCAAATTGGGGTACATGGCAGTAATGTGTAACTTAACGCTCGTCATGTGTCTCGCTAAAGAACCCCCCCCCCCCAGTCCATCCGATCTCGAATAGAGTCGAAATAATTGCTATTGATGAAGATCGGGGTCGCCTGGTGTCAGAGGTAAAATTAGTGAGAAAATGTCCGCCAAAGTTTGGTGAGTTCCGAAGCGTCAGTGTACTTGGAAACTACACATTTACAATTTTTGTGCCTTTGATTAATGTTTTTCCAGTAAAATCCACATAGAAATGTGTTTATATGGGGCTATAAAAGGTGCTGACCCTAGTAGAGGAAAAAAGAGATAAAAGTTGCCCAACGGGAGAAAAGATTTCTGTTTCTTGAAATTCATTATTTTGACAAGCGCCTGATTTCACCACGATTCCACACATATGGAATTAACTGTTGTGCACTTTAGGGAATACGCAACTAAACAAGAATAGATGGCAATCTCCCAAATGCAGATTTTCATGATTTTCCGGATCGAAATCCTAAACTAATTTGTTGAAAACTTTGTATTAATCCACGATCTTGATCAATAATTTTGTTTCTTGTTTTTTGGGGGGGGGGGGGGGGGGGGGGTTTTGTCTTTTAATTTTTCAACACATTAGGGGTCTAAAAAATAGACATCTTATTTAACTGGTTTGAAGATAATTACGTTCTATGTGTCCCCTTCCCAGTTTGTGCTTCTTAGATTCCCAACCCCCCATCTTCCGTCCTCACGCTCTATTATTGAAAATGCCTCCAGTTAGTGAAGACTCTCTAGCTGAGAGTTCCCTCTGGAATAATGAACTAATATACGTTATAGTGTAGGGCTAATGGTGAGCCCGTCAAGGCGATATAGTATATTTAATATATATATTAGAAATAGATAGTTGCGTGTCACCAAGCTGTATCATTTCTAACTAACTGTAGATGAACATTTAAACAAAAAATTGCTCTCGCTATTGACACTAACGGCTTTGCGCACTGTTTCTTCCTTTATGCGACCTACGTTACTTAAATTGAGTAACTGTGTGTATATTATTATGGACTGACACAATGCGCTTGCACACGCACATGTTCTAATAAAACAAAGACTCACACAGGCTCTCCCACAACCTCTTTCATCCCACTTCATTCTCTCTCTCTCTCTCTCTCTCTCTCTCTCTCTCTCTCTCTCTCTCTCTTTCTCTCTCCGCTCTCTCAATCACACACACACAAACACACACACACACACACTCACACACACGCACACACACGCACACACACTCTCTCTCTCTCTTTCTCTCCCCCCCCCTCTCTCTCACCGTCACTCTCACCCCCCCCCCAACCC